GTTCTGACTTTGATAATGGAATTCGCCTAATTGTGGCTTTGAAGTATGGAGTTTTTGAATTATTTGTATTGATCATTCTTTTGCTAAATAAACATGTTCAATAAAGAAGGTATAGCAGACTATTAGTAAGGCGGTGATTGTTCTGCTGCAATACTTCGAGTATAAATTTGAAACAAGTTCTGTATTACATGTACATGTAATCCTCAATTCGTTTATGTTGGCTGGCACCTCTCGGTATTTTTATTCGAATAGATATAAAATCCTAATGGTTTTAGAAGGATACGGCACAAAGTTCCGAAAATCTATACGTTAAAGGTGTAATTTTTCCCCATCGATGAATGTAAATTGTCGTTTAAATAATGCAGTGTTTATTTTACCTTTGTGAAGATGCACCTAATGAACCAAAAAGTCCTACGTGTGCTGTAGTATTTGGTTTAGCACCTTGTAAAAACGGTTTATCTGCATTACCATTAATAAAGCCTTGGCTTCCTGAATAGATGCGACTCAATGGTGGAGCAAAACCAAAGGGACTTGCTTTCACCTGATATATCGTTGGGTTAATTGCAACTGAGTGTAACTTAATTGTGTTTTCCATCGTTTCAATTTTCTGTTCTAATTGTTGAATACGCATTTTGTTTTTACGATGTTTTTCTTTTAATAGCTTTATGTCCATTTCTAATGATTCATTCCGTTTCTCCAAACATTCAGCACAATCACGCTTCTGCATCGTACTGAATTTAACACCGCATGCGTTACATTGATCTGCAGTTTTAGTATATACTTGTCCGTGTTGAGTCAAATCTTCTAACAATGTGCCGTGGTTGCCATGGATTAGCTTACTATCCAGGTCATCAACTCTGTCGTAATCATTCAAAGAAATAGCAGAGGTCATGTTTTGTATTTGTAAGTGGATTGAAATAAAGCTATAAAAAAAAAGACAGAAAAACCTTACAATTTAATTATACATTACATAAATCTTCTGCTCTTCTCTCAAGCATACACCAGAGATTGATGGATACGACGGTTAGACTCAGGTTAATGACTAATCACATACGCAGTTATGACTTAAGTGACATACTAGTCTTGCAGTGAATATGATGATTCATCGGCTTGTTAGCTAGCGTAGATTGCAACGATCACTGCAAATAAAATAAAACTTCTTCTATCAGAAATTGAGTCACTTAAATGATTTTCCTTTTATTTTGATCTTCATTTCTTTAACAAAACTGTGGTTACAAGTCAGTGAGTATGAACGAATACCACAAAAATCAGCCATTGCGAGTAGTCGTTTCCGTTGCAGCGTCGAGAACCGTAAAACGCAAAATTATTTTACTTCTCTACGCGCTCCGATTTTGAGGATAAGCTTTTATTGTTATTATCAGTACAAATAAGAACACGAGCTCACGATTTTTTTCATTCAGATTTTAGCCATTCGACCAATAAGCATTCACTAGCTACTTAATCTTTGAAGGAAGCATAATCTTTTTACACATCAGAGAGACTATACAGAAAAGAAGTTCTTACACACTCCCTCCGTACTAAATTAGAGTTACCTAATATTTGAGTACTCAGAAGCATCTCGTGTCTCGTTCAGCCGTTGCATACAAAATTTAGTGAATGATGCGATTAGAGCTAGACAGAGATCGGCAATTCCGGCTAAGTTCAACTCCACTTAAAGAAATTCATCTCTAACTCCAACTCCGTTTCAACTCCAATAGGAACTTATTTTGTCCTGATTCATTTTCGTCTTTATTTTATTAGTAGTTGTTTATTTCGCTTTTGTTTACAACAGTACACACAAAAATAGTCATTTTAATAGTTCAAAATTGTATTTCAATAATGTTAATTTTGAAAGCGTACTTTTTGTCATTCTGCATCGATGAGATCGGAAAAGAAAACCACTCTGTGAAAATACTCTCTCTACCGGTGCCGACGTGGCAGGTACGCATAACAATTTTTGAGCTAATTTACTTGAAATTGAATATACTGTCTTCTTGTAAAAAATAAGTGAACTATTTTCACTTTGTTCTTTTAGAAAACTAACTGTCTCGTCTTGAATAGAATTTTGTATTGTCAAAAACAAAAAAAATTTTCAGAGTTGCAAAAATTTTCAACTGGAGTTGTGAAGTTGGAGTTGAAAAAATCTGAACTGAACTGAACTCTAATCTAATAAAACCGAAACTCCAACTCAACTCCAACTCCACTAAAAAGAAGCTCAACTCCGGCGTTGGAGTTGCCCATCTCTGGAACTAGATAATTAGTGATCAGTCTATTGTTACCTGATGCTCTCATGTGCCCATCTTTGTTTCAGCCTAGTGGGCACTACTTAATCAGGAATAAACCTTAAATGTTCGAAGCTATTCACTCAACTGAGTGATGTACTTGAGAGTTGGTTATACCTTATCATCCGAAAAGATGCCGTAAATCAGACTTCACAGACAACGGGCCGATACCGATATACTTAAACATCGTCCTTCAACTGAAACTGAGATACATAAGAACTGCTAATATTAGAGGAGAAAGTCCTAGTAGTCTATGTCCTGAAAACATATCGTAGGCTTCTAAACACCATTTCACACTTACAAGCATAGGGAAACTCACTATCAACTTGCACTCAGATAACAAAATGGACAGTAACTAGAATGATAGTGCTTGCCTATTCACTTATTCATCCAAGACAGTTTATTAAACTGTAACGCATGAATGAGTTTGATCGGTACAATTGCAGCTCTTCTACATACATTCTGTTACCTAATTTATCTTTAAACGAGATAAACAACAAAATAATGACGTGGATTTATCTGAAATAAAAGAGAAAATATCAGTACATAGAATACCTGTAAAACTTCACTAGTAGTAGATGCAAATGAGTAATAGAGATATAAACTCCTCGTTTGCTTTAAGCATGTTCATATGTTAATTTATTTTAACATTGAACTAATACCTGATATATTTAATTAGTTAACGCCGTCGAGCGACGTTTGAAGAGGTTTCTACCTGCAGTTTGTAACCTATTGTTATCTGACCATAAAATAAACATGTTTTTACAGAGAGAGTGTGTCTGTATGTGCTCTTTTCTGAGAGCAAGTCAAAAGAAAAATTCTATAGCAAAAGAATGATCAATACAAATAATTCAAAAACTCCATACTTCAAAGCCACAATTAGGCGAATTCCATTATCAAAGTCAGAACCAATCCTATTTCTATCAGAGATCAGTGCATGTTCGAAAACACTGAAGCTCCAGACTTTATCTCGAGTGTATCAAGTACGACATGCAATTTCAATAAAGTTTATCGAAAACATCGTAGTACTTATCAATATGTGCCGTGCTCCACTGATAGAAAGGATATTCTAGAATGAATAAAAAAGTAGATTTGAAGAAACATTTATCAAATATGTAGAATAGTTTGCTTCATGCATACTAATAAATCTAAAGGATGAGTTCACACTTAGTGACCTCTCGAATGTCGCTATTTTACCTCTTACGCGTCCAAAGGCCAGCAGTGTCCGAGTTCCATCAATTCCAGAACTTTACTCTTACTACGAGAATTTTCCACTTCACTAAAAGCCAAATATAGTACACAAATCATAAAGAGAAAGGCTTCTCGAAATTCCGATTTGTGTCCCTCCACAAGAATTTCACTTCATTTCACGAGAATTTCAGTCTACAGCACGAGAAGTCTAGTTATCAAGGAAGCAAGACCACCATAACTTTCTCCACGAGAATTTTACTTTTCTACAAAAATTTTGAGAATTACTGCGAGAATGTCATAGTTTGCACAATGCACATTCGCCGAGAATTTGATGTTCTAAGAAATGGATTAGCATTCGCTGGGAATTTATTATAATGCATGTTGGATCGATTGCGAATTCTCTATGCGTTTCGGTATGCAATGGATGATCATAATGCGAATTGATGTATATGGTGTGCTTGTGAATTCTCTATTATTTTTATGGACCAGGTCACCATATAGGTTTGTTATGATATTGTTAGTTATATGTATTCAAACAACCAGATGCTAGCAGTCCCTAAATGTTTTATTTATGTATTTCAGTTGTGTTTTCTATGCCAGTTATTTTCGAAGAGTTTATTCAATGAATCCATATATTTTTAACCATACACCTCCACTTCGCATGTGTAGGAGGGCGCGGGGGGAGGGTAGATGCCATGAGAGTTAGTCACGATCGTTAGAAAAGAGAAAAGGTTGAGGTTTCAATCGATTTTAAATATGATATAATAGCCGGATAATCTTTCACGGAACACTTGCCCCAGGACATACTACAAGCAGTTCTAGTTTTGTAAATATATTCATCAGCTCATAGTACCTGTTTCGACACTAATACGTCCAAAGCGGTCAGTCTGAATTCCTGCGCATGAAACAGAATTCTCGTGGAAGAGACTAAAATTCTCGTGGTAATTCTCAAAATTCCTGTAGAAAAGTAAAATTCTCGTGGAGAAAGTAATATGCTCAGTCTGAATTCCTGCGCATAAAGCAGAATTCTCGTGGAAGAGACTAAAATTCTTGTGGATTTCGCAAGGTTCGGGAATTAACGGAACTCGCACATCCCGCTTAAGTATGAGTCATATGTTTTTCCTGGCAATATATGTACAGTCATTGATACATTTCTCGCTGTGTATATCAATGTTATTCTTTGAATGGCAAAAGTAAACGTGAATAACCAAATGATTATCAAAAAGATGCGAAAATATTTCATGAAAATAGTTTTGAATATGA